GACCTTCTACAATGTGGGGTTCCTGTCTATCTGGTGGCAGGAGGGATGCCTGCAATGTCCTGGATACTCATTACTTACATCAGCTTCTCTGGAGGGTCTTTACCCTCTAAGTCTTTGCTATAGCCTTTGGGGCATCCTGTATCCCCCTGTCTTCCTGTGGCCCCTCTATCCCTTTGGCTTAGCAATTATCGCTGTTTCTCTCACTAGATTCTGTGCCTCTTGGGGGTTGTCACTATGGTATCATCAGGTTCTGACAGAGTGTCTAGCCCATAACAAGAGCTTAATCAATATTTACTTTTAAATCAATAAATGCACCACTGGACTTAGCTGCTCAGCTTTCACACTTTAATCATGCATTTCAGAGTCCAGACAGTGGAGTTGCTGCATTTGGGCTCTGAGGTCAGGCAGCCCCAGCACAGGTACCCTTCACCACGGACTAGCCACGAGACCGGGGGCACGTCCCCTCGCAGTCCCCTCATTTGTAAATGAGGGCTTCTACCACTAGGGTTGTTGTGAGGATGAAATGAGATAATTAATGTGTTTTGGAAGTTTCCACAGTTGTAAGGGAAAAAAAATTTATCCAATTAAAGCTAAAAAGAAAAACTAGTGAGTAGCTCACAGCATCAGTGGGAGGGCTGGAGAGCCAGCCAGGCTCAGAGGCTCCGCAGCTGGGATTATTCCCCAAATCATGTTCAGAACTAGCCCTGTGGGTCCCCTGTAGCCATCACTGCCACCAACTGCACATCTGGCACAGAACACCGCACTTCCCAGCTGCTGCTCCAAACCCAAGCCTGCCGGAGCTCCCTCTACTGCTGGAGGGTCCTCTTCAGCCCAACATCTTAGCCTCAGTGGTGCCTCATTCAAAGTCCAGGCGTGTGATTGGCTGAGCTCTAATCACATGCCCACTCCCTAGCTGCCAGCAATTCTGGGAGAGCATGTGTCTGGCCGTCTCAACCTCTGTGCCACAAGTGGCCTCTATTTCCCATGAGGGCTCATGGGATAGGAGAGTCCCCCAAATGGGAAAGGGGCTTCTGATGCTGGGTAGACTAAAAGAATGACAAATGTCCACCAGAGCACACTAAGACTCGGTATTGCCCAAGTGGTCAATGTTAGCTGAGTGTGCAGCCAGTGACAGAGTGTGTGGCACCCTGCAGAGAGGCTGCTTGTAGACCTAGCTGGGGCCTCGAGGGTCAGTGTCATGGCACTCCAGGGACAGGGGATGGTGGTTTGGACTGGTCCAGTGGTGGAAGTGGTGAGAAGTTTTTGGAAGCAGAACAGTGTATCAGTTTGCTAGGACTGCCTTAACAAAGTATCATAGACTGAGTACCTTCAACAGCAGAATTTGTTGTCCCACAGTTCTGGAGGCTGCAGGTCCAACATCAAGGTGCCAGCAGGGTCAGTTTCTTCCGAGGGCTGTGAGGGAAGGATCTGTTTTATGTCTCTCTCTTTGGCTGACAGGTATCTGACTTCTACCTGGGCCTCTTTACATCATCTTCCCAGTGCCTGTCTGTCTCCAAATTTCCCATTTTTGTCAGGACACCAGTCATTGGATTAGGGCTCACTCTAGTGACCTCACTTTAACTTAATTACCTCTGTAGAGACTCTACCTCCAAATAAGGTCATATTCTGGGAGTCTTGGGGTTAGGACAGCTCAGCCCATAACACGCAGGGATGAAAGAGGATGGCTTAGTTGAGGGTCAAGGGTAGAAGTTAAGGATGAATTCGTGGCTTTTGGCTGAGCACCTGGAGAAGGGTGGTGCCACTTACTAGGTGGGGAGCAGATAAATAAAAGGAATTCAGGGGTTGAAGGCCACGTTGACAGTCTCCATCCCACTCTCCAATGATTGGTTCAGTAAGAGGCCTGTGCCCCACTGTGGACAATAGGACATAAAGTCAGGCTTCCTGAGGCTTCTGGGAAAGTTCTTATCACCAAGAGATCTGGGAGGGGCCAGGATTACTCTCTCCAGCCTTTTGTGAATGGGAAAGCACGTGGCCGAAACTGGTACGAGGAGCTGCCCTATAAACATGAATAATGCGGTCTTAGGATGAGGTCAAACTATGGAAAGCAGCGTGAAGCTACAGGAAGCATCTGGATTCTTGACCGTGTTACTGAGCTGCCACATCAACAGTCCCTGAAGCTCACCACTCCTGTGCATTTGCACTTATAAGTGTCCTTGTTGCTTAGCTATTTTGAGTTGGGATTTCCTGTTATTTGCAATCAAGTACATCTTAATGCCTTAAATGTTACAAGGCATTATCCTCTCCAGTGGGCTGAAAAATTTTTGAGATTCAGAGCCATGTTTGGTTTATCCATGTCCGGCTCAGAACCCAGTTCTCAGCACATGTTTGTTGAATGAATCAGCAGATGATGGCAGATCAGAGTGTCCTGTGCATTAGGCATGGAAACCTCATCATCAATAGGAATAGCTCCAGTTGTTGATGATATATTCTGACCTCACTCCATGCTATGAGCAAGGTAGTCACGGAGCCTGAAGGAGAGAGAAAATGGGAAGAAGATAAGTAACTGGCAGGGAGAGGGTGCCACCCCTTCCTGCCTCTTCTCTGCCATGGGCCAGTGTGCTTAGGTTCGAAACATGGGAGCTGTCTGTGTTCCTCTTTCGCCTTCTCCAGCACCCTCCCTCCCCAAGCCTGGAGTCAATCACCCAGGAAGTCCTGTCCGTTCTACTCTCAAAATATACCTTAAATCCATCCACATCCCTCCATCTCCACTGCTTAGTCCAGGCCACCATGACCTTTGGACTGCTGCAGTGTCCCCAGAAGGGTGCCTGGCTCCCCTTTAATCCACTTGCCACCCTGCAGCCAGAGAGATCTTCTGAAAATGCAAACCACACTGTTTCCTCCCCTTACTCAAAACCCTCCAATAGTGTCCCACTCCATCCAGAGTAAAATCCAAAGAAAAGCCACACTTGTTACGGTGACCTGCAAGGCCTGCATGACCTGCCCTGTCCTGCCCCTCCACCGTTGTCCAGCCCACCACTTCCCTTTCTTTCCTGTCCCATTTCACCCCACTGGCCTCCTTCCAGTTCCGTGGACACCCCAAGCTTGCTTCTGCCTTGCTGTCTTGGCACATGCTTTTCCTTCTGCTTGGGACAACTTTCCACCATTTCTTAAATTTTAAAATGGCAGAGTGTATTATACTTTTTATAAAAGAGTATATAAAATACACCCGTATGCATTGTGCCCACATGCACACATGCATGCACGCACACATGCACAGTTTAAAGAATGATTATAAATCTGGTACTCATGTAGCCATCATCCAGGTTGAGAATTGAAGGTTTGACAAGTGCCCTTCCCCAATTACTTCTCCTTAGATGACCACTAACCTGACACTTGAATTTTATTTTATTTTTTTGCTTTTCTTTGTAGTTTTACCATCCGTATATAATTCTGTCCAAAATTTTTAATTTTGCGTATTTTTGAATTCTATACATGGAGTAGTATTCTGTGCATTCCTTTGTTTCTGGCTTCTTTTGTTCAGTATTATTTTTGTGAGATTTTCTTGTGTATCTGCACATGGCTACAGTCCACTTGCGTTTGTGGCTACCTTGTGTCATGTTATGAATGTTCCACAACTTGTTTATCCATTCTGCTGTCTGCGGGCATCTGGGTTCTTCTCACTTGAGGTTGTTATGAACAACGCTACCATGCACATTTGGGTAGACATCTCCTAGGGCTCATGGAAAAGAGTTTTTCAGGGGAGTTTTCTGGAAGTGAATTGGCTGGCTGCAGGTTACGGACATCTTCAGTGTGACTAGATGAGGCCAACTGTTTTCCAAGATGCTGCACAAATTAAACTCCCACCAGCAGAGAGCAAGCACTGCTCATCACTATTTGGTCTTACCAGACTGTTAAATGTTTAGCCTACATGGGGATTTTGTTTGAGCTCCATTCGAGTACTGACGCTGCTCCAAGCTCTTGTTTGAACCTTACAACAGCCCTGACAGGTCAGCGTCGTCATTCCCATTTTGCAGATGAGGATGCCAAGGTCCAGCTGACTTAAATCATTAGCAAATTCTTGTTCTGGGATTCGAGCCCAGATCTATGCAACCTGAACCTAAGCTTTCTCTGCAATGTCGTATACTGAGGTTTGTGGGCCCGTAGCGGGTAGCAGTGGGCAACTATGAGTATCTTACAGATTGAAACTGTCTTGGGGAGCTTAGTGCCAAGACCTCAGTCTTTGGTACGCATCAGAATTTCCCAGTCCCTGTCCCAAAACCACTGAATGAGAATTGATAGAGATGAGGATCTAGTCTGTATGAAATAGTATCTCATTGTGGTTTTAATCTGCATGTCCCTGTTGACCAATGATGTCGTGCATCCTGTCATTACCTTACACATCATTTGCATTTTCTTTAGAGTCTGTCAAGTCTTTTGCTCATCTTTAATTGTCTTGTTTATCTTCTTATTGATGTATTAGAGCTCTTTATATCTTGTAGATATGGTTCCTTTGTAGTTATATGTGTTGCAAGTATGTTATCTCAGTCTATGGCTTGTCTTTTCACTTTTTGATGGTGTCTTTTGAAGAACAAAGGACTTTAACTTGGATGAAACCCCAATGAGCATTTTTTTCTTTTGTGGTTAGTATTTTTGTGTCTTGTATCTTTGGCTACCCCAAGGTACTTCTGTTGGGCATGTGCACTTTTAACACACTTTCAAGGTGGTGCTGATGCCCATTAAGGTTGGAGAAGCCCAAACGTAATGGGGAGCATAGGCGTGGGCACAGATCTGAGACTGACTCCCACGTTTCCACTTACACTGAGCAAGTCATTTTATCTCTCTGAGCCTCAGTTTCCCTATCTTCAAAATGAGGCAAAGATAGGGACCATTCCCAACATTTGTTAGAAGAGTTCAATGAGATGAAGCTCAAAGTGCTGGCCCTGAGGAAAGTGCTTTGCAAAAGCTGTCATTCTCTGTTCCTTCTTGCTTCAGCAGGAGGCTGAACAGAAGGAATAACATTGTTTGTTGTTTATCCTCAGCACATCAAGGCCTTTTACCGTGAATCATGGGAAAGAAGGCGTGGATATCCAATAGACCCAGATGGTCTGACCCTGCTCTGGTCTGTGACTGTGTCCATATTCGCCATCGGTGGACTTGTGGGGACATTAATGGTGAAGATGATTGGAAAGGTTCTTGGAAGGTCAGTAGCAGGCCGTCTCTATCTAGGGGTCCTCTCCATAACGTTCATAATATATCTGTATTATAGTCAGGACCCCAGCAGGCGACAAAATTCCACTCAGACAGTTCAACTGGAGAAATTTTAATGCCCGAAGGGGCAAGAGGAGGAGATAGGGTATCAGAGCCCAAGCAGAGCTGAAGCCACGGACGATGGATGGGCTGATGAGCAGGGGCTGGAGTGTGGAGGGACTGGGCTGTGCCAGAACCATAGCCCCTAACAAAGGGAGCAGTGAAGAAATATCCCGACCTCTTCCTCCTCCCTCCCTCCAATCTGCTGCAAGGGCCGCCCTTTGGTCAAACCCATGTGGAAGCCAGAAAACCAAAGAGCCTTGTCAGTACCATGCAGGAGGGCCAGCTCCCAGGGCACAGAGCAGTGCAGGGAGGGAAGGAGATGGGATCCGAGCACAGGGGCAAACGGAAAACACTCAGCACCATGCCTTAGAGATTGTTCCACACGAGTATAAAAACACCTGCTTTCTAAGAAAATCAGCTATTCAGACAGTCTTCCATTAAATGGAGATCTCATAACTTATGTAACCACTCCCTGATGGATAGACACGTAGGTTATTTCAAATATTTCCCATTACAAATAAGGCTGCATTGAGTATCAAAAATTTTGTGTTGAAATTTCTCACCCAGACCATCTCCAATCAGACCCACCTTACCTCATGAGCCTGAGTCCTCAATTATTTCCGGGATGAAGCCTCCTCTCTGAGCAGATGGATTTATCAATAAATTCCCTCAAACAATGTTTTCTCTGTATCCCTGCTCCTAACAACAGCTTCCTGGGAGCTGCTGAGGTGTGTGTGGAAAGAGCAGAGTCTCTGGAACATTCCTGTCTGAACTTGAATCATGAGTCTTCCACTAACTAGCTGTGTGGCCTTGGCCAAGTCATTTCATTGATCTGAACCTCAGTTTCGTCATCTGTAAAATGGGCACAGTAGTTCCTACCTATAGGGAATGTTAGAAAGTCTAGAGAAAATGAATGGAGAATGCCATTAGCAATAGCTTAATAAACAGAAGCTGATATTATTTATCATCATCCTCATCATCACCTTGACATTCATACTCCATAATTCCCATATGCTCCACAAATTCCCATATTTCATTTACCTGGATTGGAGAGAAGGTTCATCAGACCCCAGAAAATCTCCCTAGACCTTGGGACTACAGGAACATTATTAAGCAGGGTCCTACCCATGCCTTTACACTCTGCCTCAAATCCCCAAGAAGGAGCAAATCCGAATTGATGCCATTTCAGAGAAGGTTGGGACAGAAACAGTCTTGTGCTCATAAAGGTCTTTTAGACACCAGTGAGTTAGAGGAGGTGCTGACATCTTTCTTGTCACCAAGGCCACATCCAAGGCAGAAACTAATGGGAACTCAGCACCTAGGAACTACAGCTGCTGCACAATGTAGTGACAGATGCCATTCAAGGTCCTGCAGCACTCCTGGCCCTCACAAACACACTGTTGTTCAATTTGCCCTGCTCCATGGGGTCTGTAGATGGGGAGTGGGAGGTCTAAGAGGTTAGGGCATTTGTGTTAGCTCCACCAGCTAACACGGTGACAGAGCTCAGGCTGGAACCAGCGCTCGACAGCCTCAGCACTGTTGTCTTCCCACCATGCCAGGCAGATCTTAGTTAGGGCCCTGCTGGCAATGGTACTGTAAAATTCATGGCTGTTTGACAACAGGTGAGTGACCGGCTGGCACCTAGACTGGCACCACTGAGCAGGGTTCCTGAAATGCTGTCACTAAGCCTTGGCCCAAGCCAGACTCTGTCCACGGTCCCTTTGCCCAAACCAGTAAGACGGAGTCACCCCGCTGCCCCTGGCTCTGTGCTTGTGACATCTACCTGCCTTATACCCAGCAGTGACACTTATGCACGAGGTTGCTTTTTAAGGAGACTCTGATCCAAGCAGGTGGACTAGGGAAAAGGATCGTAGAATCGGGGTCAGAACGCTGCAGCTCAGCAAGCCCCGACTGCCCCCCATACCGGATGTGTGACATGCAACTTGGCCACCTCATCTCTCAGCCAGCGTTTTTCCCAAGTGTAAACTGAGGGCAATTACCACTTACCACTCTCACCAGCAAGGCAGCCAAAAAAGCACAAGGAAAGCAAAAGAGAAAACGTCTTTGAAAACATCTTGAATGTCGGAGTGATGAAGGCTCCCTCACGGCGACCCGGCGGACACATGAGGATGCGGGTTACAGCAAAGACTGTGGCTCTCATGCTCCGAGCACTGCCGGTTCTTTTCATTATTGTGGGGGTGAAAGTTGAACTGGCTGAAGTTGCAGCTTGAATGGTAGCATTGGCGGGAGGAAAAGGAACAGAAATTGACAGAGAAGGCTACCGTTTATTCACCTGCTACGTACCACTGCGATATATTGTTTACTTCTTTGTATTAATGTCCTTGCTTTACAAATAATGATTCTGGGGCCCTGAGAAATTGAGCAACTTGCCCAAGGTGACAAAAAGTGAGGTCAAACTGAAATTCAGATCCGGGTCTGTTGGAGCACAGGCCCGCGCTCTTCCTAGTTTATGATGCTACTTGAAACTCCCTCTTTTTAAATTTTTATGTATTTATTTATTTTATTCTCGATTTTACATATTCATGGGGCAAGAGCTGACCCTCAGCACCTGTGCCCAGGTTGTGGTGAGCAAATCAATGCTATCTGCATGCCCACCAGCTCAGATTGCAAGTATTCCCTGCATCCCCCACCCAACCCATCCCCAGTGCTCCTCTCCCTCCCCCCACCCAGCCCTGCAACCCTAGGTCTGTTCTCTCCCTCTGCAAGTCCAGAGCACCACTGTGGTCTTTCTTTCCTTCCTTCTTTCTCTCTTAGCTTAGTGTGAGGACATGCAGTATTTTTCCCTCTGTGCCTGGCTTACTTCACTTAACATATTTTCTCCAAGCTTATCCATGTTGCTGCAAATGGCAGAATTTCATTCTTTTTTTATGGCTGAGTAGTATTGCATGGTGTATATATTCCATGTTTTCCTTATCCAGTCATCTGTCGATGGACATTTAGGTTGGTTCCAACTCTTGGCTATTGTAAATAGAGCTGCGATGAACATGGGAGTGCAGGTAGCCCTTTGACAGGATGAGACTGAGAATAACAAATTCTGGTGAGGATATGGAGAAAAGGGAACTCTCCTACACTGTGGGTGGGACTGAAACTCGTGATGCCTCATTATTCCTCTTCCGTGAGGGCTGTCAGGGAGGATGAGGAAGCTGCAGTGTCATCCTGGGGAGTCCAACAGAAGGTGCTCGAACGTGTGGCTAGGAGGGAAGTCCTGGTGAAGCTGGGGTCCCAGAGTTCAGGCAGGCTTGGCTCCTGGCAGGTGCAGCAGTGGGTCTGCTCCTGGCTATGACGTGGGGAGCTCATCTGTGACGTGGGAGAGAAATGAGGAAAGGGAAGCACAGGAGGGAGGAACAGTCTCTGGGAATGAGCCTCACAACATTATTTGGGTCTCAGGGAAGCTGGATCCTCTCCTCCTAGAGCTCCGGCTTCTAGGTGCATTGTTAGGTTGTTTTTTGAATCCTTTCTATTTTTTTGATGTAGACATTTATTGCTATAAACTTTCTTCTTAATGCTGCTTTGACTATATCTCATGGGTTTTGGGATATATTTCTGTCTTCATTTGTTTGAAGAATTTTTTTTTTAATCTCTTCTTTGACCCATTGGTCATTCAGGAGCATGTTGTTTAATTTCCATGGGGTTTGGAAAGTTCCTCTTCTTATTAATTTTTAGTTTTATTCTATTATAGTCAGAAAAAATACTCAGTGTGATTCTATTTATTTGAACTTGTTGAGACTAATTTTGTGGCCCAGTATATGGTTAATCCTGCAGAATGTTCCATGAGCTGAGGAGAAGAATGTGTATTTTGCAGCTGCTGGATGAAACATTCTATAATATCTCTTAGGTTCATCTGGTCTATGGAGCCATTAAATCTGATAGTTCTTTGTTCATTTTCTGTCTCCATGATCTGTCCAATGGTGAAACTGAAGTCTTAAAGTACCCAAATATTATGATATTGGTGTTTATCTCTCCCTTTAGATCTGATAATATTTGCTTTATATATCTGGGGTGCTCCTGTGTTGAATGCATATGTATTTATAATTGTTATATCCTCTTACTGTATTGATCTCTTTATCATTGTGTAATGCCACTCCTTGCCTCTTAGTACAGAGTTTGATTTAAGTGTTTTATCTGATATAAGTATAGCTACTCCTGGTTGCATTTGTTTTCTATTTGTGTGGAATATCTTTTTCCATCCGTTCACTTTCAGTCTATGTGTGTCATTGTAGGTAAGGTGTGTTTCTTGTAGGCAGCATATAAATGGGTCATTTTTTTTATCCATTCAGCCAGATTTTTAATTGAGGCATCGATCCATTTACATTGAAGATTATTATTAATATGTGAGGTCTTACTCCTGTCACTTTGTTGGTGTTTTCTGATTGTTTTGTGTAACCTTTGTTCTTATCTTTCTTATTGTTTATCTTTGTTGTTTGGTGTTTCTCTGTATTGACAAGAAAAATTCTCTTTCTATTTTGTGTATCTATTCTACCACTAAGTTTTATATTTTGGGGCATTTTTACGATGGTGTTATTATTCTTTCTCTTCTAGATGTAGGACTCCCCTAAGCATTTCCTGTAAGGCCAGTTTGGTGGTGATGAATTCCCTTCATTGTTGCTTGTCTGAGAAGACTTCATTTTTCCTTCAGTTCTGAAGGATAGCTTTGCTGGGTATGATATTTTTGGGTGGCAGTTGTTTTCTTTCACTACTTTGAATATATTATCCCATTCTCTCCTGGACTATAGGGTTTCTGTTAAGAAGTCTGCTGTTATTCTAATGGAGATTCCCTTATAAGTGACTTGACACTTTTCTCTTTCTGTTTTTAGATTTCTTTGTCTTTAACTTTTGGTGGTCTGACTCTGATGTGTCTTAGAGAAGAACTTTTTGGGTTGAATCTATTTGGGGACCTTTGGGCTTTCTGGATTTGGATGTTCATATCTTTCCCAAGAATAGAAAAGTTTTCAACTATCATTTCATTAAATATGTTGCAATACCTTTTTTGTTTTTTTGCCATTTGGAATGCACATAATTTGAATATTTGTTCATTTAATATTATCCCATAAATCCTGTCGGCTTTGTTCATTTTTTAAATTTGTCTTAATGGGTTACTTCAAAACAGCTGTCTTCAAGATCAGAAATTCTTTCTTTTGTGTGATCTAGCCTGTTGTTGAAACTCTCAGTTATATTTTTTATTTAATTCAGTGAATTCTTCAATTCCAAAATTTCTGCTTAATTTTTTATGATATGTATCTCTTTGTTAAATTTCTCATTTAGATCATGAATTCTTTTTCTGATTTCATTAAATTGTTTGTCTGTATTCTCAGTGAATCTCCTTAAGATTATTAATTTGAATTCCTTTTCCAGCAAGTAGGCTGTAAGGTCACCAAGGAAGGAGATGCTAGTGAGGTAAAGGAAGAAAAGATGATTTTATTAGCAAGCGGCAAGCAGACCTGCTGCGCTGATCCGAAAAACAGCGTCAGCCCCGGGAGGCAGTTGGGTGTCTTTTTTTATAGGGTTAAGACTGGCATCTGGCCTAGCCTAGGAAGACGGTCACAATGTTCCACTCTGGATACAGCCTGTTCATGGAAACAGAGACGTGGGGAGACAGAAACCTTGGACTAGGGGGAAGCAGTTACAATGTTACACTCTGGGTATAGCTGCTCAGCCTGCTTGTGGGAACAGAGACTCAGGGAGATAGAAACTTAGAGAAACGAAACTTAGAGAAACAAAACCGAAGGGTAGGGGCTTTCTAAATGTCAGTTTTCAGTTCCTGGGACCTAACATAGGCAATTTCCAATTTGTTGGCATCAGTTATTAGAGCATTATTGTGTTTCTTTGGTGGTGTCATGTTTCTTTCTTTCTTTCTTTCTTTTTCATGTTTCTTGTTTCCTTGCACTGATATCTGTGCATCTGGTGGAATAGTAACCTCTTTGAATTTTGTAGAAAAAATTCTGGCTTGTGTGGGGAAGGACTTTTACCTGCAAATGTGCCTTTGGGTGTTGATTGGGTAAACTACAGTGGCTTTGTTCTGGATGGGTGCAGTAGACTCTGTGTAGTTTCTTCAGCTGTAATCAACTTTTGCTATGTCTGAGTGTGCCTCAGCAGCCTATGCTTGGAGGTTTGTGGCAGCAGTGACATAGCCTTGTGGGGGATGGGGGTGTCTCTGTGTTGGTTTTTGGGCTGGGGGTGTGCATGTGCTCACCGTGAGTCATCTCAGGAGCTGGCTTACTGAGGATGGTTTTGCAAGGTTGATTTTCAGGCTGGGGGTGTGGGCATGGGACATGTCAGGGATTCCGGGGATGGTTCATCATTGGTAAGGTCATCATGCTGATTCTCTTACTGTGTATGGGCCCACCAGGGTGTGTCAGCTAAGCTGTTTCTCATTCGGATGTGTGTGCATGCAACGGCTCAAAGACTTGGGGGTAGATCTACCAAGGGCACAACAGCTGGGCTGTTGCTCTGGGGATGTGGGCATGCTTTGACTAACCTAGCTGGGTGGAGGTCTCCTGGGGCCAGTCCACTGCACCACTTCTTGATCCGGGCTGTTGTTCTGAGTTGGGGGTGTGAGCATGCTTTGACTTGCATTGCTGGGTATAGATCTGTTGGAAGCCAGTCCACTGCACCACTTCTTGATGCCTGGTGTGAGGTCATGCTTCCTTCGGCAGTTTGGAAGCAGGTCTGCCAAGGGCAGGGCTCTTGAGCCTTCTCAGGCAGTGGGTGAGGTTGCTAGGTGAGGCTGTGAGAGGGGGCCCAGCCCACTTCTTCTTGGACAGTGGGCAAGGCCACCAGGCAGGACTGTTGAGGGCATGACTCTCCAGGTCATGGATGCACTTTTAAGAATGAAATTGTACTTATTTTTTGAATAATTAATGCGCTCATGTGGCTTAACTTTCAAAAGGACCAAATGAATATAAATTAAGTTTCCTTTCCATTTCTGTTCTCCAGCCACTCAGTTCTGCCGCCTGGAGGCAACCAGTGTTACCACTTTTTTGTGTGTCTTTCCCAAGGTTTGTGACTAATCTATACACAAACTCACCACTTTTTCACACAAATTGTTGCATATTTTACACAAAGTTGTTTTTTTTTTTTGTCTTTTTTCCGTGTCCAGCAACGGATCGCAACCCTCAGTGTTGCCCCCGTACCGGACCGGGGACCGGCAACAGGATCGCAACCCTCGGCGTTGCTCCCGCGCCTCACTCAGCCAGTGAGCGGGAACCGGTCCGTATGTGGGATCCGAACCCTCGGGCGGGAGCGCCGCCGCGCTTCCCAAGCGGCGCACTGTCCAGTGCGCCACCGGGCCGGCCCCTACACAAAGTTTTTTATCTTGCTCTTTGCACTTAATATATCTTGGAGATCTTTTCAGAGCCGAATATAGAAAGTTACCTGTTTTAATGTCTACATAATGTATCACCATATGGGAGGTATCATAATCTACTTAAATAGTCCTTTATTAATAGACATGTATTGTTTCAATAATTTGTTATTATAGAGAATGTTGTAACAAGCAATTTTGTACCATAATCATTAAGCCAGAAAAGGCAGTAACTGTAGGATTCTCCAGGAAGATGTAGAAAGAAAAGAAAATTTAATGGAAAGTTCTTACTAGTCGGAAATAATGGGTAGAGTTCTGAACTGAAAGTCAAGAGTTCTAATTCCTGATAGTAATGTTGAAGTCTCCTTTCAAATTCCTAGCTTATCACAATACAAAACAACTTAATATCGAACTCATTGAATCTTTAGGGGAAAAAATAGGCTGTGAGAAGCTGAGATGTTTTCCCAACACCTTGACTCATCAACTAAATGACCTAAAACTAGTTATAACTTGCTAGTGTCCTAGTTAACTAGTCTATAAAATAGGGATAGTAAGAGTGCCTACCTCATGGAGTTGTTTTGAGGATTAAATGAAATATTCATGCAATATGCTTAGAATAGGGTCCATCATATAGAAAAAGTTCAGTGTGAGCTACTGTGTGTGAACTATTATGATCATTTTGCAAGTGAGAAAAAAACACAGAGCAATGAAGTGCCAAGTCTCCTGGCTCCTGAAAGATAGAACTGGTGCAGTAGTCCAGGTCCCCAGGCCTCCAAGTGCGCCATGCCTCTCAAGTGTGAGGTCTTAGGGATACGTTCATGAAACAGTGATAGCAGTCCTGACCCACAGCAGTCAATAATGCTTATTGCCATCGGAATTTGCCTTGTTTGAGGGGATTAGTCTGCCCTTACACTTAGCACTGCAGTTCATCAAATCTAAGATGCCATCGAGTGTAAGAAGTATTGCTATGTTATGAACCAGGAAGGAAGGAAGGAAGGAAAGGAAGAAGGAAGGACCAAAGCTGTAGGATGCTATGCTGGTTATCAAGCTGTTGCATCTCAGCTCCGCACTTAACCTTCTGTGCTCTTCTCTGTGATGCTGGGGTGGGGACCTGCACGTCCTATTTGTCCTTTGCCAAGAGGGGCACTCAAAGAGGAGGGAGAAGGGACTGCTCTTTTCTGTTTTCCTGAATCTCCTGCCAGTCCCAGCAATGACCTTGGCAGTTGATTTCAGCTTCCAGCTTTTGTCCACTCCCCAGAAGTAGACTCATGGTAACCCCTCAGAGGAAATGGGCAGTGCCTACCCCTAAAGGTCTGAGCCAGGTATTCAGGGCCATCTTTCCAAGTCCCCAAGACATCAGCACCACATAGGCAGCACCTCCTCTATTTGAACACCTCAGTCCTCTGATACCTGCTTAACCAATTCCCTATGTTAAATTTTCTCTATTAAAATAACTAGAGTGGTTTCCATTTTCCTGCCTGGACCCTGACTCTTGACTTCAGAAATGTTCAATGAAAGTCTTAGACTTGATGAAATAAAATATTACAACAGGGAATTCATAGATGTCAGGGCCGACGGTGCCTTTGGAGGTGACCTAGTTGACCCCAGTGGTGAGCCTGAGGGAAGAAGTACCTTGTTCAAGGTCACACAGCCAAGGTGACATTGGGGGCTGGACCCACGCTCCTGACTCTTAGCCAGTGCTCTTTCCACTGTGCCTGAGCTTCACTCTGCTGATCCCTCTGAAGGGCCTGGTCCCTGCTCCTGGGATGGACAGGTCAGTGACACACCTCATGGTGGGACGTCCTCATCAACCCTTCCTTTCCTTCCAGGAAGCACACTTTGCTGGTCAACAACGGGTTTGCGATTTCTGCTGCATTGTTGATGAGCTGTTCTCTCCAGGCAAAAGCCTTTGAAATGCTCATCGTGGGCCGCTTCATCATGGGCATAGATGCAGGTGAGACTTCACCATGATGGGGGAGGGGGCATTAACACGTTTTGGGGGGGGTGTTGAATGGGACCCTCTACTAGTGTTGAGCTGGCAGGGACCGAGGATGCTAAACCCCCTACATAAGGTGGGACAGCCTCACAGAAGGCACCATACCATTCACAGTGCTCTAGCACTCTAATCGAGAAATGCTGGGCAGAGTGGACCAAGTCACTCCAAAGTCATGGATGGTCTTCAGCAGGTCATGGCTTCTGCTTTGTCATTTCACCATAAAATTCATAGTCCAAGATTATCTGTGGCTCCCAGGGAGCTTGTATGACAACTGTTTCCTGTTAGGCCTTGGCTCATTCATTCATTCATTCATTTATTCACCACACATTTTGGGAGAACCTGCCCCGCCTTGTGTTCCGTATGCAGGGTCACAGTGATTGACAAGACCCAGCCCCAGGAGCCTCCGGACCAGTGGGGCGGGCAGATGCATAATTACATACACAGGGTAGGTAGTAGCAAGTCCCAGGAAGGAAAAAAAAAGCAGGGCAGGGGGCTAGCGAGGGCTATTTGAGAAAGGCCAGTCAGGGAAGACTGCTCCAAGGAGGAAATACGAGCAGAGACCAGAATGAACCAAGGGTGAGAACCAAGTGAGTATCTGGGGATGGGGTTCCCCGTGGAGAGCAGAGTGCAGGGGCTGAGGCAGATGGGCGCTTGGCACACTCCTAGAGGCCAGTGTGTGGGAGCTCAGGAGTGAGGGGAGCGTGGACACTGACGAGGCAGAAGAGGAGCCAGGGCCGGGTCGGGTAGGGCCTTGTAGGCTGTTGTGAGGACTGTGGGTCTGTGCCGAGCATGAGGGGAAGGCAGGGGAGGGCTGAGAGGAAGGCGATGTGGACTGTTAATGTTTCAGTACGATGGATCACTCCTGCCCCCGTGTAGATAAGAGAGTGAGAGGGAAGCCAGGAGTGGAATCGGAGAACGACTTAGTTGTCCTGGGGAGAGAGGCCATGGCTGGGACAAGACGGAGGTAAGGGAGGTGGCAGGAAGTCACCAGATCCTGGCTGCGGCTGTGCAAGTAGGAGACCCAAAACAAACAAACTGTGCCTTCTTTCTAAGTATGCAAATCTGTAAAGTATTACTTTTAGGCATTTGTGGAAAGATTGCAAGCTTTAGGATTAGAAATCCCTGGGCTTGGATACCATCTCTGCCGCGTGCCATTTTCTCATTTTTGGTAAGTTACATAATGGTTCGGAGTCTCAGTTTCCCCATGTGTAGAATGGAGATAATAATACCTGTTTTAAAAGGCTGTAATAAGCCTGAAGTGAACATATATATATATATATGAGGGTACTTCAGAAGGTATTATTTATCACCGTTCTGCTACATGAGCCCAGTTAGGAGCTGCATTAGGAGTCTCTGGTGGACATGTCCATGTCTGCTGCATTCGTTCAAAAGGTTGGTGGAAAAATAGAATTGAAAGATAATACACATCTTTCATGAACTTTCTGAAGTACTCTTGTACTGCCCAGCACTGCCCGGAACCTATTATGAGCTCATTCAAGGCTAATTCTCTCCCTTGTCAATGTCTTAAAAGCTGAGGGCACCAGGCTGAGCAGCAGAAGCTGTCTCAGGAGAGGTGAGCGGGAGAGCAGGGGCCTGGACGTGAGGCTGGGGAGGACTGTCCACTTACCTTCATTGTCCTGGTGGCAGGGATAGGGGTAATAGTTCAGGACTTTGTAATAGTCTATACTCAGGATAAAATTACTCTTTGGTCTTAGTATTCGAGTTGAAGGGAGATGGCTATAGAAAAAATATTCATTGGTAAGAATAATGGCTGGTGTTGATGTAGTGTTGTATAATTTACCAATGGTGTTCATGTATTTCCTCTCCTTTGATCTCCTCCTCACATTGAAAGGATGTTTTTTAGTTTTTATTTTATGTATGAGGACATCAAGGCTCAAAAACGTGCAAAAGTAAAGAGGTTAAGGGTGAGGGCTATGGATTCAGGCTGCCTGGGTTCCATCACTTACCTGGGTTAATTTCATTAACTTGTCTATATCAGTTAGGTTTTGCTGTATATTAAAAAAAAAAAAAAAAAAGTAATGGCTGCAAGCAATAACCATTTTACTGAGCTTCCAATTCTGTGGGTTGGCTGGGCAGCTCTGCTCTGGGCCAGCTCTGCCGATCTCTGCTGGCCCTCTCATGTATGCTCGGTTGGCTGCAGGTCAGCCAGCAGCTGGAGGACTTAGGAGGGTCTTGCTCATGTGTTTGGCTGCTGGCAGGTGGGTTGGTCTCAGAGGCTCTCAACAGGACCAGCTCACCTCTTCTCCACATGGCCTCTCACATTCCAATAAGGTAGCCTGGGCTTCTTCACATGGAGTTCTTAGAGTTCCAAAGAGCAGCAAGAGGATAAATTTCTAATGTGCAAGCACATTTGCTAATGTCCCGTTAGCTAAAGCACCTTTCACAGACAGGTGCAGAGTCAGTGTCAGAGAGGACCAACTACCCAAGTACATGGATGCATGAAAGCTGAACAAATTGGGGGCTACCACAGCAACAGTCTACCTCACTGTCTTAGTCTCTTTCTTGAGTGACTTAATAGTAAGGCCTCTATATTAGTTAGGGTTCTCCAAAGAGACAGAGTGAATAGTGTATATTATAAATATATGAGAGGGATTTATTAGGGGAATTAGCTCACACAAATGTGAAGAAAATTCCCCTGATAGGCCGTCTGCAAACTGGATGCTGGTAGCATGGCTCAGTCCAAGTCCGAAGGCCTCAAAACCAGGGAAACTGATGGTGTCCTTGGTGAAGTCCTGGAACCCAAAAGCTGAAGAGTCTCGAGCTCTGATGTCCTCAGGCAGGAGAAAAGAGTGTATCCCAGCTCCAGCGGCTAGAGAGAGAGCTTCACCTTTTCCCTCTGTCCTTTGTTCTCTCCGGGCCCCCAGTGGATTGGCTGGTTCCCACCCACACTGAGGGTGGGTCTTTCACACCCAGGCCACTCAGACTCTCACGCTAATCTCTGCTGAAAACACCCTCATGGACACACCTAAAAAGATAGCTTTACGCAGTTTCTCGGCATTCCTAAATCAAGTTGACACCTGGAATTAACCTTCACAGCCTCTTTATTGGATCATGTAAAAATTAAATGATCTACTGTGCATGTGAAGCATTTTGTACAGTTCCAGACAGTTAGTGGCCCCACATCCCCACCTCAAAAATAGTGGTAGTATAATTATAATTATAATTGTTATTATTATTATTTATTCTCAGTTAATTAGGTGCTGATTCAGGATTTGGACCCAGATAGTTAGGTTTCAAAGACCCTGCCTACTTTGGAGAAAGGTTGGATGACACTGGAGCATACAACCTTGAAAGTCCTTTTCTAATGGAGGCAGCTGAGATTCTTGCTTTCTGGCACTTTTATATTTTATCCATCTAGCCCTTTTACTGTTGCTTTGACTGTCTAGCTAACTTGGGGGAGGTGACACTTATTACACAGAACTAGTTGCTCTCTGAATTTCCTTAAATAAAAGTAAGCTGCATTCGAAGATAGACATCACTTTTACAAAACCACAGAATCAAAACAAATTCTAGAATGAGACACCTATTGGGACTCTATTGGGCAAAACCTCTTTGGCCATCCCTGGACATCGCTTGATGATTTAGGCAAGTTACTCAACCTCTCCATGCCTCAGTTTCCTCATCTTTAGAATGGAGATAATTTACTTCAGAGGGTTGTTGTGAAAAGTAAATAAATTAATATATGTAAAGAGATAAAAAGGACCCTTGCTACTTGGTAAGCACTGTATATGTGAGCTATTATTATCATCACCATCACCAGCAACACAATCAACACCATCATCACCATCATCACCACCATCACCACCATCTCCACCATCACCACCATCACTACCATCACCACCATCATCACCACCACCACCATCACCACCACCACCATCACCACCACCATCACCACCATCATCACCACCATCACCACCATCACCACCACCATCACCACCATCATCACCACCATCACCACCATCATTGCCATCACCACCACCATCATCACCATCACCACCATCAACACCATCACCACCATCATCACCACCATCAACACCATCACCACCATCACCACCACCATCATTACCATCACCACCACCACCACCACCATCACCATCACCACCATCACACCATCACCACCACCATCACCATCATCATCACCACCATCACCACCATCACCACCATCATCACCATCATCACCACCATCATTGCCATCACCACCACCATCACCACCACCACCATCACCATGGTCACCACCATCACCACCATCACCACCACCATCACCACCATCATCACCAACATCACCACCATCATTGCCATCACCACCACCATCACCACCACCACCATCACCATGGTCACCACCATCACCACCACCATCACCATCATCATCACCACCATCACCACCATCACCACCATCATCACCATCATCACCACCATCATTGCCATCACCACCACCATCACCACCACCACCATCACCATGGTCACCACCATCACCACCATCACCACCACCATCAACACCATCACCCTTATCACCACCACCACCATCACCATGGTCACCACCATCACCACCACCATCACCATCATCATCACCATCATTGCCATCACCACCATCTCCACCATCACCACCACCACCACCATCACCATGGTCACCACCATCACCACCATCACCACCATCAACACCACCATCAACACCATCACCACGTCATCACCACCACCATCACCATCATCACCACCACCATCATCACCATCACCACCATCACCACCACCATCATTACCATCACTACCATCACCACCACCATTACCACCACCACCATCATCACCACCTCCACCAACACCATCATCTTCTCCTAAGAAATGCACATTCCAACCATTATTTCTGGATTAAATAATGAAGTGCTTGTGAAAGGCTTGGGAATGGTGCTCTGGCAACAGTGCTACTTATTGTCAAGGCAAAGCAGAGCCAGGGGCAGGTACTGTGACCAGAGTGCCCCTCCCTCAAGGAAGACAGCTTGCTCACTGGGGACGTTCTTCCTCCACAGGCATCGCCCTCAGTGTGCTCCCCATGTACCTCGGCGAGATCTCACCCAAGGAGATTCGCGGCTCTTTGGGGCAGGTGACTGCCATCTTCATCTGCATTGGCGTGTTCACTGGCCAGCTACTGGGCCTGCCCGAACTACTGGGAGTGGTAAGTGCAGCTCCATGGCCAGCCACACCCCTCTCATCTCACTGTGACCACTTCAGGGATGAATCCTTCCTCCAAAAGCTTGTCCCTATGGGCTGGGATTCCTGAGCATTCAGCCTTTTACTTATTGTTGGAGAAAAGTTATTGCTGAGTTCCTTTGATTAGGTTTGATAGAGAATACATAACAAATCCAAACCTTACAGAATGTTCAAATCCATCCACCCAATAACTTAATAGCTCAATTAGTATTTGTTTGGGCCTTTTTCTTTCTTATACAAACCTATATAAACATATATGGTTTGTTGTAATGTGGGGTTTTTGTTGGTTTTGTTTTATTTTTAATGGAATCATGCCATACACATTCTGCAACTTGCTATTTTCATTTAATATATTTTTGGTTTCTTTCCAAGATATTTTGCTTAGGTGTACTTCACTCCTGAGTCTTGTTTGCCCTAAATAAATAGGTAGTTGCATAGTCTTCTGTTTTTGACTTGTTGTTTGGGAGGCAGGAAGGCCTGAGTTTGAATCCCAGTTTAGCAATTTACTTGGCAAGAGGAACGCCTCACCTAGGTTGGGGGGGGGAGGTGGAATCAAGGAAGGCTTCCCAGAAGAGGTGGCCTCTAAATTAACCACTGTAGGGTGAGCAGGAGTTAGGCAGGTGGTGATGGAGGCTGGGAGAGATGACAGTCCAGAGAAAAAGAATAACTAAAGAAAAGGCCCTGCCGTGGGACAGAGCCCTGTGAAAGAACTTGGATGGCGTGGAGTCTGAGGGGAGGGTGTGCAGGGGGAGGCTGAGAGAGGAGGCCCCTGTCCACTGAACCGCAGCAGACTTCATCCCAGAGGAATTGGGAGCCTGGGGCAGCCCTAGAACAAGAGTGACACAGCCAGATCCGTGTGAGAAGGTGGCTCTGGGGCGAGGGGGTCAAGTGTCAACTAGGGTGGGAAGGGAGGAGAGAGACCAGGCGGGAGGCCGCTGCTGTGGGTACACGTGGCAGGGGAAGGATGCGGCCAGACTTAGGCAGTGGCCGTGGGGACAGAGGGGAGTGGGCAGGCTCAAGACCTTGGAGGACTTGGTGCCTGGCTGTCTGATGAGGATTTGGAAGAAGAATGGCGAGGATGCCTCCCAGGGACCTGGAGGAATTCCTCCTCATACACACAAGAAGGGCAGGAGGGAGGGGGGAGACTAAACCACTAATGATGGGCAGGGGCCCAGCACGTGCCAGACCGTCCTAGGGCTGTGAACAGTGTACAAGACACAGCCCCTGTGGAGCTGAATCCTAGCAGGGGAGGCAGGCGATAAATAAAATCAAACAGCACACACACCATGGAGTGTTTATGGGAAATACTGGTTGTAATTTCTTCGGTCCCCACAGCTACTTTGTGCGTAGTTCACATCTGCAGCCGTGGAAACAGAAGCCTAGAGGTGAGGCACAGAACAAACGACTCATTAAAACGTGCTGGCACTGAGAGCAGCACCCGTGTGTCTGCTCCCAAACCCTCGCATGGGGCGTGTCTTACACAGCCAGGAAGGGCACACGCAGGTGTCTGGGGAGTGTGGCAGCTTAGGTTCTTCTTAGGGGCTGGTTTGGGGCCGGCCTGTGGCTCACTTGAGAGAGCGTGGTGCTGACAACACCAAGTCAAAGGTTAGGATCCCCTTACCAGTCATCTTAAAAAAAAAAAAAGAAGGGGCTGGTTCTGCCCCAGGGCCCTTTCTTGGTCCTGACTCCTCGCACATCACTAACTGCAGAGCTGGCCCCTTCTCGTTCAGCGGAAGGTTTGATAAGTGATGAATCGAGATTGGTGGCCTCGTGATGATGAGTTAAAGTGAACTGGTTGGCATGTGTCGCATTTTTTTAAATTTTGAATATTTCGTTCATATTTTATTGTGGTAAAATGCACATAACATTTTAACCATTTTTAAGTGTACATTTCTGGGCATTATCTATATTTTTTATATTTCAGCTGATTTGGGTCACCTGATTCTGATCTTTTATCATCGACCCTTTTCGGTTGTTATGGCTGTGATTTTGTTTTTCTCCTTTGCAAAAACAAAAACAACTCACACTTCACATTTGTGGTTGTCACATGCCTGACGATTTCTATGATCAACGTGAATGTGTTGGAAACAGTCTCTTTACCAAAGTGTGGTCCCGCATTAAGCAGACTCTTTTGCTTTTTGTGTTCAAAGGAATTTTTAAATTCTAAAAATAAGCATTAGGTGTGTCGATGCCTGTAACAGTGTAAAGAGGGTGGGAAATCCTACTACGGTAATTGAAAGGTGGAGCTTTGAATAGGTGATTAGATTGCAGGACCATGCCCTAGTGAATGGATTAATAATGGTGGTCACGGGTGTGGTTCTGGGGGCTTTAAAAAGAGAGGGAATGAGGAGGTTAGGCTCTCTTGCTCTCTCTGCTCCTCCATTTTCACAACACGATACCCTGCCGTCGCCGTCGCCACCACCAAGACTCTCACCAGATATGTCCCCTGGACTTTGGACTTCCCAGCATCAGAAACTGTAAGCAGCAAATTTCATTTTTTAAGTTTTTTTAAAATTTTTATTGAATCAAAATTGGTTATACATATTTTGGGGTTTCAACATTGAGATCTGTTGATCAAATCAATATTAGTAGCATATATATTGTTACAAATCATAAATATTCTTTATGCCCCTTGTCCAATCTCTCCCCCTTCCTTTCTCCCTCCCCCCTCTAATTACCCTAGATTTCTTCTCTCCTTCTGAAAGAGTAATGGTTACTCTGTTGATTTTTTGCCTAGGTGCTCTGTCCAATGCTGAGAGGTGTGTTCAGATGCCCCAGTATTATCATAGAGCAGATGCTTCTTCTGTCACTCTGGAATGGGCTTTGTGGAGAGAGACATCCTCTTCTTTTCTTTCTCTCTGCTGGTGACTCTCCTTGTGTCAATGCACTCCAGTGGCTGGCAGACCATCTGCGTGGTGGTCGTGGAGTCTAGCTGCTTTCACGGTGGCCATGGTTATTATAGTGGCTGTGGTGGGCCACCCACATGGAGGTGATGTTTTGGGCATGCTCCTTCATGCTGGCAGCATCCCTGGTTGTGGGGAGTGTCTGGTCCCCTTCTCCATACCTCAGGACCCCAGGTGGGCTCCGAGGTGCTGGCATGGTGTGCCTGGTTGTGGGAGGGGGTCTGGTCCCCTTCTACTTGCCTCGGGTTCCCAGTCAGGCCCCGAGGCACTGGTGCAGTGTGTCTGATTGTAGGAGGGGGGTCCGGTCCCCTTCTCCTTGCCTCAGGTCCCTAGGTGGGCCCCAAGGCACTGGTGCAGTGTGCCTGGTTGTGGGAGGGGTTCTGGTCCTCTTCTCCATGCCTTAGGAACCCAGGCAGGCTCCGAGGTACTGGTGCTGTGTGTCTGGTTATGGGAGGGGGGGTTCAGTCCCTGGCTGCAAGCCCCAGGCCCCTGGGTGGGCCCCAAGGTGCTGGCGGTATGCCTGGATGTGGGAGTGGGGTCCAGTCCCCAGATCCATGCCTCATGTCCCCTGGCAGGCCCCAAGGTGCTGGTGGTATGCCTGGGCCAGAACTAATTTTTTGTCCTTTGCTTACTTCTAAAACAGGGGAACTTCCTTTGGGAACCAGTACTTGAGCTCTGTGGTTGAGCTAAATTGCTGCTTTGCTGCTGTTTCCCTAGGGAAGGCTTTTTGTGTAACTTAGGGTTTAATGGTTGACCTTTAGGTACTTCCAGCTCTCCAGAGACTCAGTGCACCTGGGTTGTGTAGAAATTTGATCTGGGCCTCAGTTTTTTCATCAAACTGCACCCCATGCAAGTCTACATTCCTGACCCGTCTCCTCTGAGTGGTCCTACTCTGATCAGGGGGCAGATTGGCTGTCCTTACTGTGTCCCAGTGTTCTCCTTGTGGGCCCATCTCCCCCACCACTTGTGCTCCAAACACTTCCCATGGGACAGGCCCTGCACCAGTCCCTTGTGATGACTCACTGGCCTCTGAGTGGCTCCCCTTTACAGCTCTGTTCTGGCTCCTCGCTCCTGTATGGGTCCACGGGAACCCTATTAGTGGTCTTGCTGTCCTGGGGGCCACCAAAGCTCTCTTCTCACCTGCCGCATCCAAGTAACTCCATCTGAAGGGCACAGCTGTGGCTTCTGCTGGCTCCTGCTCCATGCGCTTAGCAGATCCAGCCTTAAAGCAGCCATGGCCCGAAATGCTCAGAGCATTTTTTCTTTCTCTCATCGTGGTTTCTCCTGCCTCCAGGAACTCCGTAGGTCTCTCCTCCTCTTCTGCTGAGCTCCAGTGGTCCCAACTTGGCTGATGTTATATTTTTATAGTTGTAAATTGGTTGATTTGTGGGAGAGAGTGATGCTGGGGACCATCTATTCTGCCATCTTGACCAGAACTCAATAAATTTCATTTTCTTTATAAATCATCCAGTTACAGGTATTTTGTTATAAGCAACAGAATCAGACTGATGCAGACAATAAAAACAGTGTAACAATTACAGACTGAGCTCTTTAAACATAAAAAATATATTTTAAAGTCAACAAATAGTGCTGTGTTCTTCACTAATAGAAAAGTAAATAAATATCTACCTCATTAGAGGCGAAGCTTCTCTCTTTGGGGACCATTTCCAAATTCCTCACCACTCACCAAACTCTTTTGTAAATCAATATCAGGTTCTTTCTGCTACTTGGATCTCCAGGTCTTTCTGAACCTCTGTCTTCCCCCTTCACTCATTCATTCATTCCTTCAGCACATTTGTTAAACATTGAGTTGGATGCTGGACCTACTGTTTTGAGCATGTCAGGTACAACCTGCATCTTCATGATGCTCACAGACTGCAAGGACACTGTGACCTTGGGCAGGTCACCCCACCTCCCTGCACCAGTGTCCTCCTCAGTAGCAGACAGGGTCACAAGTCCCAAATCCCCAAGTCCTGCTCACACATGACTTCCTGTGGGAAAATATCACTGGCAAATAGTGACTGTTCAAAGCATAATCGGAACACCTGTGTGCATGCCTCTC